CCCGCCGATGCTGCTACTCGACAACGGCACGCCGCGCATTTCTTGGGAGCTGTCGCCGTCCGGCGCTGCTAACCCTTCGGGATCCCTTGGCGTGACCCTCCTCGACATATTTTCAGACGTCCGCGCCTCGCGCGGCCACGACGCGGACGCCGGCCCCTCGAGCGGCGGGCGCGTGGCCGCGGCCCCAGTGCCGGCCCCGACAGGCCGCGCCGGCGGCGCGCAGCAGCACGCGGCGGAGGGCTCCGCTGATGCCGGCCCCGCAGCCTCGCCTTTCAGCGCGCCGGCGGCGCAGGCGGGCTCGGACGCCGCGCCGGCGCCGGCACACGTGCCGCCGCCCGCGTCGCCGGCGGCCCCGCAGCCCGTCATAGAGCTTTCCGAGGCAAAGACCCGCGGCGGCAGCACCGCGTTCGCCGCGTTGACCGCCATTGACTGCATCGCGGAGGAGACTGAAGAGGGCTCCTCCCATGGCGGCGGCCGCAGCGGCAGCAGCCGCTACGGGCGCGGCCCCGGCCCCGCAACCGGGGCCGCGGCGCCGCTCCCGCGACATGACGCCCGCGGCGCGGCTGGGTCGCCGCTGGAGACGGTTGCGTCCGAGGATGTGAAGGGTGACGCGTCGCTGAGTCAGCGCCGCGTGCGGTATCCCCAGTCGGACCGGCGGGAGGGGCCGATCGCGAGCCGGGACAGGGGGCTGCTGTACGCAGCGCCCGAGGTACTACGGGGCGACAGGTGGGCGCAGGGCGCGACGGCCGGCGGCGGCTCGGGGGTGAGGGATCGTGGGCAGCGTTATGCAAGGGGCCCGGGGCCCGTGCTTCCTTTTGGAGGGGCTGGCGGGCGTCGTGCAGCGAGAATCGGCAGCGTCCGGGATGTTATTCGCGCACGCGTCCTGCTCAGTCCGTCTGGGCGGCCCTGCCTGGTGCGGCGGCGGGGATGACACGTGTGGGAACCTGAACCGTCGCCGCCGCCCCTCCCCTCGCACCAATGCCCAATACCAACGGCCACACCCATGCTAACACCAATGCTGAAACCATTGCCCACACCACTGCTCACACCAGCGCTCACACCAGTGCTCCCATGAACACTCCCACCAACGTTCACACCCACCCTCACACCATTGCTCACGCACCAACACAGGATCACCGAGAAGGCCGACGTCTTCTCATTCGGCGTGGTGCTATATGAGCTGCTTTCCCGCTCCCTCCTCCTCGCTTGGCGCCTGACCCCGCCCCCCCCGCCGGCCGCCAATGGCGGCGGCTCCTCCCACGCCGCCGACCGCTCCGCCAGCCGCAGCGGCCGCTGGGCCGCCGCGGCCGCCGCGCAGCTGCAGCACCGCGGCGGCGGCGCGGAGGCGGCGGCGATGCTGGCGTACGCGCGGCGCGTGTCGGACGGGTACCGCGCGCCGCGGCCGCCCTTCTGGCCGCCGCAGATCCGGGGCCTCGTCGACGCCTGCTGCGCGCAGGAGCCGCATGAGCGGCCGCGGATGGAGGAAGTCCTGGAGGCGCTGCGGGAGATCTGCGGCGACGAGCGGGTGATCTCGGATCTCAACTCGTACATCCACAAAGACGTGGGATTCGTGCCGCTGTGGGCGGAGGGCGTTCTGGACGTCGCCGCGGTCGAAGACAAGGGCGGCAGCGGCAGCGGCGGCGCCGCCGCCGCCGGCGCTGGCGTTGCCAAGCAGCAGGCGCCGCCGCCGGCGGGGCGCCCGGCGAAGGCCGCCGCGGCGGCCGCAGCGGCGGGGCCGCGCGG